CAAGTTAAAACAGAGCACACCCACAAAAACAGAGGGGGAAAAAAACACACAAACACACTAAGCAGGTTTTGAGGTTTATTAAAATAAAGTATTAGCAAACAATATGCAAAAATGAAGTTCTTACGAGTTATGGCTTTGAAAAGCTCAATATAGTAAAACCTAATACATTTTTATAAGTGTAAAAAAGATAAACAGAATGAAAGCATGTTGCTAGAATTTCACTTTTTACAACATAAACAGAAACAGAACAAGTACAAATAAGAAGCAGACCTATAGTGCAGCCATTGGTTTGGTCTTTATTATCTGCATATGAAATACCTATTTGAGAGAACATGGACAGCTACATATAAACATCCAGTTTTCATTATAATCTTGTCCAATTTTAAAATAAGTAATTTTCAAAATGCAACTTAACCAATAAGGTTAAAAAGAAAACCTCTTCTATATCCTTCACGAGTCCCTACAGTTAAAAGACTTTATGAATGAATCAAAGCAACATCATCTGCAGTGAGAAATCCAAATCTAAAAGATGTTTCTTTTATAAAGAACCTAGGCTTGTCTGACCTCACTGGAACTTGGTTATAGCTAACACCAACTGGTACCTAATAATGGGGATAAAAATCTATCTGTACACAAAATTTTAAACTTTTTAAAAACAGCATCTTCAAATAAAACCTTACAGGACAAAAGAATGGTAGTTTTAAGAATGTTAAGAACAGAGTTAGATAAGAACCATGCAAACCTTTTTCACTGTGCTATGAAGGATAGGAAAATCCTGCTCTGACTAGATCTTTTCAACAAAACAACTCATCACTGGTTTTACAGCAATTGCTACCAGCAAATATTATAGCATAAGCTCTTACTTTAATATATATATATATATATATATATATATATATATATATATATATATATGTAAAATCTCATTGTTTTTTGTTAACCATCCAATTTTTGGGTAATACTTCAATTATAACATAGTTGTATGTTAGAAGATAAGTTTCTATTATTAATAATCCAGTATAACAATGGCTTGATAAACACAGTTACCTTTTTGTAGTTAGGACACGCTGAACCTGAACTGCAATCCAGTGGATTCCAGAGAAATGCCCAAGTTTCTGTGCAGCAGGTAAAACTGTTTCTGCAGAAGTGATGCCTTGAATTCTCACTTTCCATACACGGATCTTCTCTAAGAAGAAAACCTCCCCAGAATCCTACCTGCTTCAACGAGGAAAATGCTGTTCAGGGGGAAAACGCATATCAAACTTGAGATCACCCCCCAAAAGCTCCCCTAGTTAATATCTGAGGAGACCATCCATAAACCAATGCTTATGAAAATTTGCTCCCATAAAAATCACCAAACACTTCTAAAACCACCAGGCTATCTACTACCTTAAAAGGTCCGTGTTTATCTAGCTGATGAGTATAAAGAGGAAACATTTACATTCCTACAAGAGACTAAGTGAGGCTTTAATTAAGACGACCAAGAAGCTCTCTCACTCTATTAAAAGTCAACAGGTCCAAAATGCAAGTCATCATTGGAAGTTGAATTCAATAATTACCTAAAGGTTCTTCCTTCTTCAGAAAGTATAAAAGATATTAATATATTTTAAGTGGGAAAGCGATAATGATCCAAAGTAATATTAAGCAAACAACTAGAAAAAAGTATGAAGAAATGGATCTGAACTGGTATATTGGATACTCTCTATAATAGAAGCACAGAACTGAAACTGGTACTATAAAACTTTTTCGAGTCACTCTGCTATTGGTAGGATTTGATCTTTTGTAAAAACTTTCTCCCTCAGCAGACACTATTAGGAGGATCATTTCCAGCAGGTCTCTTCAAATACAGAAGGTTTTTTAATGAGCACCAATTTTTGTCTTGATAATACATTTCAGATCTGAATATTTGATCATGTGATATTCTAAAAGAATGTCTTACTCTCAAATGTATAAAAAGTACATGGCTACATCCTCTTTTTGTACTTTTAGGAGTAGCTTCTTTAACTATCTAGTAATTTTACACTGGATTTGACCTCAGAAACCCAGCCAATTCTATTATCAGTTTCTTATATAACAACAATAAAATATGAAAAATTACTTATATTCTGATGTATGTATTTGACATTTTGGTTGAAGTCTCCTTTGAATTTTCTCTAAAGAAAATATGTTAGTCTCAAGAGGCCAATACTATCCCGACTAGTTTTCATTTCATAACTTACATCAGGCAATACCCACCAGATCATAGTATCCATTATGTAGCAATGTTAGTCAAATGCACCTCTTAAATTCTATTTTTCCCCCCAATCAGCATCTTTCTGTTGCTTTGATTCATTACTAAAATCAATTTTGATTCTAGTCTTCTTTTTGCATTTACCAAATTGGTTGTAATTTTATTATTCCCAGACTGTCTCTTCAGCTGGCATATATTGATAAGTTGTATATGCTATAAAATTGTGGCAATGTTTGATAAACCATCCTGGAAATTAAATAAAAACATATAATTTTCTGAAACGGTGTCTTTCAGAGGTACTTTCTTTCCATTGATGAGCATTTCATTTAGTTTTAAAATATCTTACTGGCAACTTTTATTGCCTATCCATGGATACTGGGCATCTTTGGGAATCCTAGAAGCAGCCAGATTAAGTTTTCATTTAAAATCCAGGGGTATGGAATTGACAATTTTTAGTAAATATAATAGACTTACGGTTCTCCATGAAACTCTTAACAGTTAATAGTTTCAGGTCATTCAGGACACACAGCTTTTTAGAAAAACCACAGAAAAGGCCAATCACATAAAATCATGCTAACTCTAAAAACTGTGACATGAATAAAAACTATTTTTAATTAACTCAATGGAAAGTATCAATAAAACAATTCCATAGTTTCCTTCAGTTCAAGCCCACTGAGGTTGATTACATGTTTCTATCACTCAACCTGGGTGTTTTTTTCCTACAAATTTGTTCCACAAATTGTGTCATGAGCCTGGTAAGCAAAAAAAGAGATGTAAATAAAAACTGTTCTGTCACTAAGCAAATAGTATCCTCTTTCAGATGCTGACACAATTACAGAAGATTGATAATGTATGTCATGGAAAACTTATGTTTAAGGCTCAGGTGACTATCTGAAAGAATTCTTTCACCCAGCAAAGGGCTGTGAGTTGAAGCACATGGAAGGCACTTCATCTGAAAGAACTAAAACCATCCATTGGTTGCACTTTGTAAAAGCAATAAATAATGTCACAGAGAACAGAATTACATTCTCCTTTCCTCAAAAAAAAAAAAAAAAGTATTTACTTCCTCACAAAAGTAAAAAGGGTCAGGTAGGAAGTCAAACCAAACTTACATTTTAAACACAAAACTGACATAGCTTCACATAGTACTACAAGACACCAGAAAATAAACTTTTTCTGATAGATAAATTAGGTCACATTTTTTCAAAATAATGTCTTTGTTCTCATGCCATAACTAAGAGTCCATCTGACTGCACCATAGAAAAAGGGGTAAAGAGTCTTTTATCCAAATCCTTTGAGCGTGATTGATTAAATGGATGTTTTAGGGTTTTCATGTCTTTCCTTTCTGAGAATTGTGTTCTGGGTGACTAGCATTCACATAGGTACTAAAAAAAAAAAAAAAAAAAAAAAAAAAAAAAAAAGTCAAAAGAGCAGACAGAACAGTCTGACAGAACAGTCTATGTTCTTTGACACATGTAAGTTTTTAAGTCAGCTATCTCAACAACCACTGCTGATTCATTTAATTATCACCAGTGCCCCCAACCTCAGGGCTAGACTGAAGAGGCTTCTATGGCTATAGCATGCAGGTCCTTGCATGGGGAGACTGATGTAATAAGAGCAATGGGATTAATAAGTACATGACTTTTCAACACTAAAAACATCCATAAAACTGGAATTAAAAAGGCACCTTAAGTTGGAGCTATAGAACAACAGAATTATAATCTAGGCTGAAAATACAACAAAAGCTAAAAAAAAAAAAAAAAAGTATAACTTCCTACAAGTGTAATCTATAAATTGCAGTGTTAATACAAAGGGGGTACCAAGGGAAGTAAGGATGAGCATTTAAGTCCAAGTCACTTGAGTGTGTTTCACAAAAGGTTACACTAAAAACTGTCACCCATCAAAGTGCAAAATAAAAGATTAATGCATGTCAAAATTAGATCCTTACAACACTGGCTGAAAGCAGCAAACATAGCTGACCAAGGCCGTGCATGTGCTGTCGCTAGCTATAAAGTAGTACTATGACAGGTTCTGAGTAAATGACACATACTGGAGACCTGTTGTTGGCAATAATTTCTTTTTTTTAAAGGAAATGTTTTACAAAAGATATACTGAGTGAAGACACAATACACTGACAAACATTTAGCTGTATTAAATGTAAATGTTAAGATGTCATCTAGAAAACTATCACTTGTTTTTTACTGGACACTGCTTGTTACAGCAGTGAATAGTGTTCCTTCAAATAGAAGATTCTTTTTTATAGTTTCTCTTAAGCCCCTACCTCATGCTTTTATAGAACAATGAATTAGACTTTTTAAAAGTTGGTGGGACACAGAAACTGGTAAAAGTACAGCTTCTTAAGGTTCAAGAATCAAAGGGAAGACTTTTCACTGTATACCCTCTTATTATATGGTTATTTACATAATTTTTCATTATGTGTTGTTTTTTACTTTTTCAAAAACATTTTAACAAAAAAATTTGTTGAGACAATAAGGCAAAAAAGTATGTTCCAGTTTAAGATTAATGCCAAATTTTTGAACTGGGGCATGATAATTTTTCTGCATCTTTCACAACAGTTTTGAAAGTTAATCATGTGAACATTAATACAAACAAATGTAGATTCATCACAAAATACAAATGCATTGGTCACAATTATATATATATAAAAAAAAAAAGCTGTTTTCCATGTAAGCTCACAGTATCTGTACTGAAAGTTTCCCTAAAATTAAAACAAGTCCACTAATAACATAACTGAAGAGAATACTCTGCACTATGAAACAGAAGATATGGGGTTCAGAGGGGAGCCCATCTGAGTGAGGACTTTATCCAGCCACTGAAGAGGCCCATGAAGATGAATCTCAATCCAACACGGGGTGCTGGTAACATCCTGCCGGTGATATTCTGCTCCCCAGCCCTGTGAAAATGAACCAGTAGACACCAATTTTAGGACACTAACAAAAAGATACTTTAATAGTAAACATATGCAGAATGTACTTTTAAAAAAAATCACAAAACCAATTAGCATTCACCATGGAGTTAAAATCAACACAATAGCTGCATTATTGAAAGATAAGTGCATTTTTTAAATAATATAATTCCATTAATAGAAACCCTTGGAAGAAATTATTTCAGATTTCTTTATTTAATTTTATAAAGTTAATATTTTCTAAAGTGCAATATCTCATAATTTAAAATTAATATTTCTTCAGTTAGATACGTTCTAATTAAAAGGGAAAATTAAAACATATAAATAGTCTCATATAAGTTCACATCACATTTTGTCACCAAAATTTTTTGCTTCCAGGTTTTAGTGTTTTTCTTGTGTGTGTGTGTGTTTTTTTTAATCAAATAAAGCACTGTAGATCTGATCAAGGCGTACAAGTATAATTTAAGTGGCAATCACATATCAATTATTCTTTAAAATGGAAAATTGCTGGGATAAATTGAACTAGAACACTTTATCCTAAAACTCCAGACAAAGATTAAAATTTTCTCACTTTTACTTGCCCTGATTTATCACACTCTCTGCTTTACCACTTATAGTAATCCTGACCCAGGAAAAGTAGGTGGGGGCCAGGGAGCTGGGGGGGGGGTGGGGGCACACAGGGGGAGGGGTCCAGGAGGGGAGTTGAAGAGTGCTGGTGTAGAGAAACGGAACAGGAATGAGGAAACAATATTAAATATGCAAAAGTCAGGTTTCTATAGTAGGGAGGGAATGAGTACCTTCAAGGCTACTGATAAACTGATGCTTATGACAGACCTATAAGGAAGCAGCAAGGAAGCACTGGACTGTAGGACTGAATGCCAAAAAGAAAGCACCCACTCATAGCATTTGACAGTTGCTCTTGGGCTAAATTCATAAGGACCAAATACAGGTTGCTTAAATATATCACTAAAATTCTTTCCAAATTTTGTTCATGAACCATCATCATCTTTGGAATGCCAATAAATCTGGTCAAGAGTAAATGATAGCCGAAACCGGTTTGGCTCAGTGGTAGAGCGTCGGTCTGTGGACTGGAAGGTCCCAGGTTCGATTCCGGTCAAGGGCATGTACCTTGGTTGCGGGCACATCCCCGGTGGGGGTTGTGTAAGAGGCAGCTGGTCGATGTTTCTCTTTCATCGACATTTCTAGCTCTCTATCCCTCTCACTTCCTCTCTGTAAAAAAATCAATAAAAAATATATTTAAAAAAATTAAAAAATTAAAAAAAAAGAGTAAATGATAAATTTGAAAAGTAATTCTTTAAACTTAACAAATTCTCAATAACAAAACTTAGGAACAAGGACAATAATTTTAATATCCTAAAGAACCTTTTAAAAGTTACTCTAATGGGATCTAATAATAATTTAAATTGCTAAAACTAGGAAACTTCAAAAGAAATGCTAATATTAAATGCTCTCGCCCTGCCAAGGTGGTTCAGTGGTTGAGCATCGACCTACGACCAGAAAGTCATGGTTCAATTCCCAGTCAGAGCCCAGCTTGTGGGCTCAATCCCCAGTGTGGAGCATGAAGGAGGCAGCTGATCAATGATTTTCTCTCATCATTGATGTTTCTATTTCTCTCTCCCACTCCCTTCCTCTCTAAAATCATTAAAAATACATATGTATTTTAAAATGCTCTCTAGCAATGTAGCCTTTAACTTAATTTCTTTATAAATTCAACCCCTATTCATCATCAAAATCAATATTATGCATTTTATAATGTTTGGTTTATAAAATAAAATCATAGACCTACAATGTAATCAAAGTTATAGATTTAAGAATTTCACTTAAAAACCTATTAAATCAGGTCAAAATTACCACCTTACATTTAATAATGGCTTTTTAAAAATTATATCCTACAGACATATAATATACATATTTGCAATGACTCAAATTAAGCTACAAGTTACAACTCACTTACCTTGACAAAACTCATTCGAATTGTACACATTTTGGTGAGCTCATAAACTGCCTCAAACCCATGGTTGACAGACTGAGCCAAAAGCTGTGCAAACTCTTGATTGTTAAAAATTTTGAGGCTGCAGCTGCTGGGAATCTTACAGACAGTGGTAGGATGAAAGCCGTGATGAAAGTTGCAGTTCCTACTCTGTACAAAGATGCTGCTATCACTGAGACACTCTGCATACACCTCTCCACCAACATAGTACAGATGAACACCTTAAAAAGATAAGCAATACAAGAATCAACAAAGCAGTATAATAGAACCAAAGAGGCTGTATAAGATGCAACCAAGAACACCCATTAATCTATAGCAAACTCCCCAGTCTTTAGATAGAAGGTACCACTAGATGGCCTTATCCTGCCAAAGATAATCAAGAGGTTAAATCTAAAATTGTCCTCAAGTAACTGACACTTAAGACTCAAGTTGGCAGCATAAGAGGTTATCAATTCCTATGGCTTTTTCCCCCCCTTTTCAACTATCATTTATCATCTCTTTGAGAGAAAGCAACAGGGGGAAAAAAGAGAGAGAGAGACAAAAAGTACCTTAGGATGAGTTCTTTCAAAGGAATGTTTGGTGCTATCAACTATCATTTATAGTCATTTGGCAAAGAATTTTGCACTCCTTTTGCTAACAAAGGGAAGAGTAACAACAACAACAACAACAAAAAAACCCACACACACACATCAAAAAAAAATTTAAGGCATATATGTAAATTCAGGTCACATAAGGAGCCTGTAAATGGCAGATTTACCTTTCCTTTAAAAAAATGTTTTCGGCCGAAACCTGTTTGGCTCAGTGGATAGAATGTCGGCCTGCGGGCTGAAGGGTCCCAGGTTCAATTCCGGTCAAGGACAGTTACATTGGTTGCAGGCACATCCCCAATGGGGGATGTGCAGGAGGCAGCTGGTCAATATTTCTCTCTCATCAATGTTTCTAGCTTTCTATCCCTCTCCCCTCTCTCTGTAAAAAAAAATCAATAAAATATATATTTTTTAAAATGTTTTCAGTCCTGGCAAGGTAGCTCAGTTGGTTAGAGCACTGACTCTATATATCAAGGTTGCAGGTTTGATCCCCAGTCAGGCACATATAAGAATCAACCAATAAATGCATGAATAAATGGTATGACAAATCAATGTCTTTCTTTTTCTCTCAAATCAATAAATCTTTAAGAGATTAAAATAAATAAAAATTAAAAATATTTTTGGTATTTAACATAAATAAATATGAACATAGTTACAATGTTAAAAATTCAAATTATACAGCTAAAGCTGAAGTTGTTCCCAACTTTTTACTACTGCAAACAGTGCTAAAAATATCATCTTTGTACATACATACCTCTGCACACCCATGAGTCAGAGACTTGTATTAAACTGAAACATTAAAAACTTTTCTTTTCTGAGTAACTAAAGATGACCCTGAGAAGAAAGGGTCCTAGAACTGTATATGCTGGGGGGAAAGGGAAAACCAATTCTAGAATTTCTCTTGAATTATTCTACTATAGTGAGAACATCAATGCATAGACGTGAGGCATTTCACGGAAAAAATCAAGTTAGCTGAAGTCAAAAGAAAATGAAAACTTCCTTTTCAATTTATTTTTGGCCATAGTATTTTTCTGAATCTTTTCTGTGAGAAATTGCATTACAATTATAATTATTTGCCCTTTGTTCAGTATTTGGACTAAGATTTTCTCAAGTCAAAAAAGCATTAAGTGATAAAAACAGAAGTTCTTAAGAAAGAAGCAATACACCCGCTACCTAAGACAGACTTCCTTTTTGACCACTTGATGAGAGACTATGACATTTCATTGCATTGTGAGAATTTGTTTGTTTGTTATGGCAACTATCTTATAGGACAAATAATAAATAAAATCTTACTACTTGAATTAAAAGGTGGGAGGGGTGATGGTGAAGCTATGGAAGATTTATATCACTCAAACTGTACTTCCTACCTGTAACACTTTTCCTCGAACATAATGGAAATTCCTATATGTCATCTCAACCCAAAATACTCCATAAATAACATAATAATAAAACCCTAATCCTTCCATAGTATTCCTTTATTCCACAAATATTTGTTGTGTATTTACTATGAGTCAGCTACTGCGCTAGTGGCTGAAGATGTTGTAAATAATGCAAATTTCTGTAAAGCTTATAGTCTAGTCAGAAAATTATTAAAAATATAAACACAGAAGTAATATGCTTTCAGATTCTAAGTACAATGAAGAATAATCAAGCAGGATACAGAAAAGAGGATTTTTTATGTCTTACTTCAACACCTGCAACTTGAGGGCAGAGTCTACACCTTAAGCTTTGTATGCTCCAGCAACTTACACAATAGACACAGAAAGCACAACAAAAACAGAATTCAAGTGAATGTAGGGAAATAACAAAATTACCTTTTCCAATATGTCTCCTAGTGTTTTCAATTGTCGAATTACGATTAACGTTTGACAACAACCCCAAACAGAATCTACTTTTGTTATTTGAAGGGTCTGTGAATCCATCTACTAACACGCTAGTAGAAGACGCATGAAAAGCTTCCCCAACACGATTGTTTAATTCATAGTAAACAATTGAACACCAATGTTTGGGCTCTTCATAGGCAACAGGTTGAACATCTGTGAACAAACCAAATAGAAAGAAATATTTAATGAATCCGAAACTCCAGATTCTTTAGGTGCTTCCCTCTAACCCAAACCAAGCACTATATGAAGAAGAAAAATTTCAGATATTTCACTTAGTCTCACTGCCCTTCCTAGCTTTGAGTCTGTATCCAAAAAAAACAAACTCCAAAATGCTTTGAATACGATAATTTTTAAAAATATACAAATACAAGGATAGCCAACATCACATTTTATTAATAAAATGTTTTCCTAGCAGGATCTAATCCAGGTTTAAATGTGCAATGACAAACCTGTTTCAGCATCCTAAAAAATTTAACTATACCAGTATCTATAAAATTACATTAAACAAAAATCTGAACTAAAAAAAAATAAGTGAGACACTCAGTAAACCAGAAAAGAGGGGAGCTTCCTCAACTTGATAAAGAGTATTTACAAAAAAAACCTACAGCTAACATCATACTACATACTTAATGGTGAAAACTAGAAGCTTTTGCTAAGATTAGCAGTAACAAGATAAGGGTGCTCTCACCACTCCTTTTCTTTCTTTCTTTCTTTCTTTCTTTCTTTCTTTCTTTCTTTCTTTCTTTCTTTCTTTCTTTCTTTCTTTTAATATATTTTATTGATTTTTTACAGAGAGGGAGGGAGAGAGAGTGTTAAACATCGATGAGAGAGAGACATCGATCAGCTGCCTCCTGTACGCCCCCTACTGGGGTTGTGCCTACAACTAAAGTACATGACCTTGACTAGATTCGAACCTGGGACCTTTCAGTGCACAGACTGCCGTTCTATCTACTGAGCCAAACTGGTTTCGGCTCACCACTCCTTTTCAACATTGTATTGGAAGTCCTAGCTAATGCACCAAGACAAGAAAAGGAAATAAAAAGGTATACAGATTGGAAAGAAATAAACTGTCTTTTTACACATATGAAATAACTGTCTACATGATAGGTTAGGCGTATTAAGTGCTTTCTTAAAATATTCACAATTTTCAATGGGTTTATTATAAGTTAATGAGTATCCATCTGTACTGACCAAATTCTGACTCATGTAAAAGTCAGTAATTCATAATGGACACAGTGGGTGGGAGGGGCAAGGAAGCTCTTCCTACAGTGCTAGTAGGATGTCTGTCTTGAATCTATAATCAGGCAGAAGTCATGGACCCTCAATTTTCTTTTAAAACAGCAGGGATATCCCTAGCCAGCTTGGCTCAGTGAATAGAGCATCAGCCTGTGGACTGAAGGGTCCCATGTTCTATTCTAAGTCAGGGCACAGGACCAGGCTGCCGGCTCAATCCCCAGTAGGGGGTGTGCAGGAGGCAGCTGATCAATGATTCTCATCATTGATGTTTCAATCTCTCCCTCTCCCTTCTTCTCTGAAATCCTATCTAATAAAAGAGTGATATGCAAATTGACCATCATTCCAACACATAAGATGATCGCCCCAATGTGGTCAAAGATGGCCAGCAGGGGAGGGCAGTTGTGAGTGACCAGGCCTGTAGGGGAAGGCAGTTAGGAGTGACCGGGCTGGCAGAGGAGGGCAATTGGGGGTGACCAGGCCTGCAGGGGATGGCAGTTGAGGGCAACCAGGCCAGTAAGGGAAAGAATTCGGGAAGACTAGGCCTGCAGGGGAGGGCAGTTGGAGGCAATCAGGCCGGCAGGGGAGGGCAGTTAGGGGTTACTGGGCCAGCAGGGGAGGAGAGTTGGGGGTGACCAGGCCTGCAGGAAAGGGCAGTTGGGGGGCAATCAGGCCAGCAAGAGAACAATTAGGTGTTGATCAGCCTGGCCAGGGAGTGGGTAATCAGGCTGGCACGCAGAAGTAGTTAGGGGCAACTAGGCAAGCAGGCAAATGAGCGGTTGGGAACCAGCAGTCCTGGATTGTGAGAGGGATCCCAGATTGGAGAGGGTGCAGGCTGAGCTGAAGGACACATACCTGCCCCCCCACCCCACGCATAAATTTCATGAACGGGGCCTCTAGTATACACACACACACACAGGGATAAACATGTGAGAAAACTTAAGAGTGGTCACATGGCCTATATAGGCAGTGGGAAAGAATTGGTTAACTTTTAAAATTTAATTCTGATTATTCAATTGCAAAGAATTCAGATGAGAAGAAACAGAAAACAATATATTAATGTGGATCCATAAAAAGAAATCCTAACAGCTCAGTTTTTAAAGAAGTTTATACGAAAATGGAACAAGGAGGGGCCCATAACCAAAGACACATACAGATGAGTAACAGGAAGTTATAAGAATAGTGTCAGGAAAACTAGAGCCAAGAATGAGCAGAAACTTGCAGGGAAAAATTGCTAAGCAAAACTGAAAAGACAATTTTAGTTAGGATGAGAAGAAGAAAAAGAAAAGCTTTGCGTCTGTTCAAGGCAAAGGATATATTGTTATCTGGTGACTCAAGCATTGCAGTTTAACTTTGATTTTCCTTTTGTTACCTTTCTGTCAAAGAAAAAAAGCACAAAATATGACTGAAAAGGGAAGAAAGTTGGTGAAAAAAAGACATCTATGGGAGTGAGAAGACTTGCATGCCAATTCCTCTAAAGGACTCAGTTGTTTGGCTTAAACAAACTGTACTCCAAGGAACACCTAACATACAATATTGTCAAATGGCACTGCCTGGTTTCTGGAGAAGCGGGAGAAAAAAAAAAAAAAGAAAATGATTGTTGGGATAAATATTGTCCATATTTTTCAGAAGGAGGGTATTATAATTTATTGCCTGATGCTACATGCTAAGATCATTACAAATATTGTCTAATTCAATCAATATGCTAATAATCTATTTACAAATAGTGAAACTTAGGTTTAGAAATTTAAAAAAGCTATCCTAAGTTGCAAAGCAAATAAATAGAGATGTAGGAATTCAAATCCAAAATTCATGATCTGAAACATTTTGCTCTAAATGCAGATTCTATGAATTATAAGCAAATTGGTATGACCAAATTCCTAGGTAAATCCTAAACCTTGAAAAAGTACAAACATTATTCAGATATTAATATTACTATGCAGAGCCTGAAATTCAACTGTTTTTAGAAACATTGGGCTCCTAGAAAAACTTAATGTGACATACAGTCTTTTTATATAATCACAAACACATATAACACACCTAAAAACAGCACTCTTAAGAAATAGCAGAGATGTGGAGCATTTTTTATATATTTATCATGTGTTTATCTTCAGTGAGCTGTCTGTTATGTCCTTGACCCATTTTTTTAAATTGGGTTGTTCATTTTCTTGATGAGTTTTAAGAGTATATTTTGGATAACAGTTCTTTATTAGATATGTATTTTGCAAATATTTTCTCCCAGTCTGTGGCTTGTCTTCTCATTGCCTTTACAGTGTCTTTTGTACATAGGAAGTTTTTAATTTTTAATGAAGTCCAGCTTATTACTTCTTTTTTTTTTTTATCCTCACCTAAGAAGTGAGGATATTTTTTCCACTATTTTTAGAGGCAATAGAAAAAAGTGGGAGGGAGGGGGTAAGGGGGATAAGAGGGGGAGAGAGCAAGAGAGAGCAAGAGAAAGAAACACCAACTGTTTGCTTTCTGTGCTCACCCTAACTCGGGGCTTGGGATTGAACCTGCAACTGAGGTATGTGCCCTTTGCCAGGAATTGAAGCAAAGACCCTTTGGTCTGAGGGTCAATGCTCTAACCACTGAATGAACCAACCAGGGTCTTATTTCTTTCATGGATCATACCTTGATATTGTATTTAAAAATTCATCACCTTATTTAGAACTAAATTTTCTCCTATGTTCTTTTCTAGAAGTTTTATAGTTTTGCATTTTACATTAAGGTCTGTGATTCCTTTTGAGGTAATTTTGGTGAATGGTGTAAAGTCTGTCTCTGGATTAATTTTTTACATATGAATGTCAATTTTTCTTATATCATTTGTTGAAAAGATGAGCTTTTCTCCATTATTGCTCTTGATCCTTTGTCAAAGATCAGTTAATTATATTTATGTGGGTCCATTTCTGGGTTCTCTCTTCTGTTCTTTTGATCTATTTGTCTATTTTTTTTTTAATCTTCATCAGTAAGGGCAATGCTAACTCTTACGATCAACTGATTACTGAAGAAACACTAAAGCAATTCAATAGAGAAATGATACTCTTTTTCAACTAACACTGAGTGCTAGAACCAACTGGATATCTACATGCACAAAGATGAGTCCAGACCTTTACCATGCAAAAAGCTTAACTCAATAGGAATCAGACATTAAATGTAAGAGCTAAGCTATAGAAGTTCTAGCGCAGAAAAAAATTTCTTAGATGCAATACCAGAAAAGAAAAAAACTGTTAAACTGAACTCATCAAAACCAAAAACTTTTGTGCTTCAAAAAATAACCATAAGAAAATGAAAAGACAATTCACAGACTGAGAAAATATTTGCAAACGATTTATCTGATAAAGAACTTCTATCCAGAACATATAAAGAACAATTACAATTCAATAATAAGACAAACAATGCAATTTTAAAATGGGCAAAAGATTTGAATAAACATTTCACCAAAGAAGATACATGAATGGTTAATAAGTACATAAAATGTTCAACACATTATTCATTAGGGAAATGCAAATTAAACCACAGTAAGATAATACTTTACACCCACTAAAATGGCTATACTAAAAGAAAATAACAAGTGTTAAGAGTATGTGGAGAAACCGGAACCTTCATATGTTATTGGTAAGAATGGAAAATGGTCCTGCCTATTTGGAGAAACTTGGCAGTTTTTCCTTAAATAGTTAATTTACCATATGACTCAGAAATTCCACTTCTGGTATCTACCCAAGAAAAAGAAAAACAGTGTCCACACAAAGACTTATATGATAATGTTCATAATAGCACTGTTTATACTAACCAAAAACTGGAAACAATTCATATGTCCATTAACTAGTGAATGGATTTAAAAAATGTCTTACATCCGCATAATGGAATACTTGTTCAATAATAAAAAAAGAACTACTGATACATGCAACAATATGGATGATACTAAGTGAAAGAAGCCAGGTGTAACAGAATATACAATATGCTATTCTACTTATATGAAATGCTTAGAAAAGGCAAATCTATAGACATAGAAAACAGATTAAAAGGTCTCTGAAGAGACAAATGGCAGGGGATGGAGTGTTAGAGAGCAACCAAAGAACTTGTATGTATGCATATCAGCATAATCAATGGACACAGACCCTGGGGCGGTGGGGACTTGCCCAGAGTGGGAATGGCTGGGGGAAGGGGGGTGTCAGAGACATATGTAAAATTTTAGACAGTAAATAAATAAAAATTTTTAAAAAGTTATTGAAATTTTAGAAGGTCTCTGAAGATGGATCTAGGAGAGGGAAAAGACTACAAAATAGGCACAAGGGATATTTTTTAAAAAATATATATTTTATTGATTTTTCTTACAGAGAGGAAGGGAGAGAGATAGAGAGCTAGAAACATCGATGAGAGAGAAACATCGACCAGCTGCCTCTTGCACACCCCCTACCAGGGATGTGCCCGCAACCTATGTACATGCCCTTGACTGGAAACGAACCTGGGACCTTTTAGTCCGCAGACCGATGCTCTACCGCTGAGCCAAACTGGTTTCGGCCACAAGGGATATTTTTAAAGGAATATGGCAATGCTCTGAAACTATACTGTGGTAATGGTATAAAACTTTATACATTTATAAAAACTGTTGAATCATATATTTAAAATGGATAAATTTTATGGTATATAAATTATACTTCAAGAAAGGTGTTTCTAAAAAGTGACCAAAAAGTTTAAAGGAAGCAAACAAACGAAAGATTAAGAACAGCAAAATAAATATACCTCTGCTGGATATACTGGGCATAATCTGAGGAATCATATTATTGCTTGTATCCATAGGCTGGGAATTATCTTGACCCATCTGATCATCTGGTGGCATATAGGCAGGAGGAGGAGTATCAGCTAAGAGAAAAATAATGAGACAAGTTAAAGTCTCCAAAGAAGAGTTAAGTCTTCATCCTGCTCAAAGTTATTCTAAAAGCATTTAAAAATTCATAAATTTACCAGCAGGGCTCATTAATGTGTATCACAAACACACAAAAATTCAGATGCTATCTTAGGGCAGGGGAAAAGGAAAAAAGACAGCACAACCATTAGCTATTGAAAACCTACCTACTATAAGTCCATATATATTTGGGACAATCCAGGATAGTAAGATCAGTGCTAAAATTTACTAACATAGAATTCAAGGTCAAGAATTTTGCCTTTATTTGCTTTGAATAATATGCTCCGAGAAACTGCAACTACTAGAAATCAATCTGAAGGAGATGATTATCCTAGTAAGGGTATTTATATATCTACAGACACTTTTAAATTATTAAACTCATCACATACTGTATACTGTTATTCAAAACTGGGGGGGGGGGGGGGGGAGGAAGCTATGCTGCTTCAAAATTTGCCATCAATACTAAGAGCAATTGTCTAATTTTTTGCAATGTCCTATAAAGGTTATTGTACCCTATTTAATGGCTAGGTAATTCTCTCAGGAAACTGAATGTTACTAGAAAGTCTTTTGAGTTCCAACACTCATGTCTGAAATTCTTTGCAAAGCTACGGCTAAAATTCTTTGTCTCAGAAACTATAAACACTAAATGTAATTTTTCTTTCACCCCAAGGTTTGTACAAGAAATATTTTGAGATAAAGATACATTCAAAACTGAATCTAGGACAAAGTATAAAAATTAGCTTTTGCAAATACATAACAGCAAGTTAAAGGATTGATACTCCAATTCTTCTTTTTTAAAAATGCATTGATTAATATTTTGCTACAGAGAAGCCACAAAAAATATGCTTACATATGACTCCACATGCACTAAGCATTCAAATATTTCAATCACATAAGAATGTGTTTGTACATGACATGACATGCCATTAGCAAAAGTCAGAAACTAGATAAATTATAATCTACTTATCTTTCTTCAAGCAAAACAGTTAACCAGTCTTCTAATTAAAGATAACTGGAACTCAATTTAACCTTTCAAAGTCTAAAATGATTTGACAAACAATGTAGTAAAGTTTAAAAAGCACAAACATTAAAGTGAAAGAAACTTAGTCTGAACCCCCATTTATTAGCTGTGGGACCTGAGGCAAGGTACTTAAACTCTTGGAGTTAGTATCAATTTATTTTTCGACCTGTTAAACAGAAATAATATCATTTCACATGCTGTTCTGAAGATTAAATTTAACATAATGTCTTTTATCACAGCATCAGTTATATAAAAGGCACTCAATAAATGGGACTTAGTATTTTAAATTATATGAAAATATGTAAACATGATATTTGGCAAAATAAAATCTAAAACTCTTCTGTAAATCAAACAATTACCAAAGAATATAGTCAAAAGTAGCTAGATCTTGGCATAGAACAGTTCATCCAGAGAGTCGGTAGTATAACAATTGCTGATTTTCAGGGATTATTTTTTTGTATCGATAAAATAAATTCTTACCTGGGAGCTGAAATGGACTTCCTGGTCCAGAACTTGCTGGGGAGTTGGGATACGTGCTGCTCGCAGGGGACGGGGGATAAGGGCTATTTGGAGATAAGGGGAAAGGAGTGTTGTTGGGCTGGTGGAAGGAATCTGGAAAAGTTGCATTTTGTGGCATGTGCGGTTCATTGTGGCTCAGATTTCTAAACTGAACCAGAAGGCTGTGTTGTGGATTGAATTCATTATGACGAGGCACTAATACTGGAGGTAAGACTGAAAGACAAAATCAAAATTCATCTATCAGCAATGACTAAAGCAAATATCTCATGCACATTAAGGAGTACATAGAAAAGATTCAAAAAATGGTAAACCTATTAAATAATTCACTTTTAGGAAGTTCTGCTTTGTAGAACCTTAAATCTATTTACCTAATAATTAAACCCAAAACCCTGTAAGCATTTAGCATGTATAAAGTACTCTGGGAGACAGAAAACCCAACAAAGATACCACTCCTGTTCTCTAGGAGATAAGGCATATTTTAAAACCACCATATTACAAAAATTTTAATGCAATGAGCGTTCAACAAAGGTAAGTACTTCTAGCTGGCAATGAATCAAACAAAATACTGTAGAAAATACAATATCTGATTGGACCTTAAAGAATAAGGAGGATTTTACTTGGGAATGCTAAGGGTAGGGAGAATCAAGGAGATGGGGAGATTCCAGGAGAAAGATAAGAAAGGACAAAATAGTTGGCCTAGCCACTGAACCAGGAAGCAAGACAAGACAGGGAGATTGAAGTTAGCTATATAGATGTTCTGAAAGCCTCCATGTTTCCAATTTTTAACATTTCATTTCTCTCTCTCTCTCTCTCTCTCTCTCTCTCTCTCTCTCTCTCTCTCTCAGAAACATCAATGATGACAGAGAATCATTGATCGGCTGCCTCCTGCACACCCCCTACTAGGGATTGAGCCCGTAAAAGGGAGGGGAGGGGAAAGACACATGTACCCTTGACCAAAATCAGATGCTCTATGCCTTGAGCCAAACCAGCTAGGGCCATTTCATGTTTTAGATTGTGAGATCTCACATTTTATGTTCTTCAGTCAAGTTTTCCCTACTCAAAATAATAATCTTTCTTATGCAGAAGTCTTCATTCAAAACCAGATTTCTAATCATGACCATAATGAAAATATATACACAAAGCCTAAATATTTTAAGAGATATATTTTTTTAAAAGATAAACTTTAGCCCTGGCTGGTTTGGCTCAGTGGATAGAGTGTCATGTCAGCCTGCAGACCAGAGGGTTCAATTCCAGTAAAGGGCACGTACCTCAGTTGCAGACTCCTCTCCAACCTGGAGGCAACCAGTCGTCGTATTTCTCTCACACAGATGTTTCTCTCTGTCTTTCCCTCTCTCTTCCACTCTCCCCAAAAATCAATGGAAAAATACCCTCAGGTGAGGAATAACCCCCCCAAAATTGTTTTTTAAGATAAACTTTATTCAAACATTCACTTTTTCTAAAGAACCAAATGATCAAACACATTCAAATATCTTATTACCTTTCACTATAGGAAACAGAAACAAACCTAATTTCTATAAACTCTTATTGTACCAATTCATGTCTTTTACAATTTTCCTATACTTGTCAATGTAATTTCACTTCTAAAAATCTCTAAGCCCTGACCAACACTTTGATTACAGCACTACAAAGGACCCAGTTAAGCTGTGCCCGGACTCCTGACCCACAGGAACTGTGAGATAATAAATGTGTGTTAAGCCACTTAGCTTTTGGTAATTTATTATGTAGCAGTAGATAACTAATGCACCCTGCCAGTATCCCAGCTTATGTAATTCATTCATTACAATAAAATATTTACTAAGCACAATTATTAAGTGCCAGGAAATACTACTATTCTAGGCACTGGGGATGCAATGCAGAACGAGGCAGAGGAAGATCCTGCTCATGTCAGTCAATAAACAAAATAAATGTCTAACATAGTGTCAAGTAATGATGGGGTTATTTGAGCAAGGACTGAATGGAGTAAAAAATGTGCCACGAAAAGTACTGGGAGAAGAATACTGTAAGAAAAAAGCCTAGATGCAGGAATATGGCAAGTCCAAAGAATAAAGGAAGTACGACAGGTCAGTGTAGGATCTTGTAGAAATCTGTTTTAAGTGTGATAGAGAGCCTTTAAAATATTTTGAGTAAAGAATGATTTGATATATTTTTTAACTATTACTCTGCCTGCTATGTAGAAAACAGAATGAGTTGGAGAGGGTCTAAAAGAGGTAGAAAGGTCAATTATAAAACTATTGAATCCTAACCCGTTTGGCTCCGCCTGCAGACTAAAGGGTCCCAGGTTTGATTCTGGTCAAGGGCATGTACTGGGGTTGCAGACATCCCCAGTAGGGGGTGTGCAGGAGGCAGCTGATCAAGGTTTCTCTCTCATTGATGTTTCTAACTATCCCTCTCCCTTCCTCTTTCTAAAAAATCAATGAAATATATATATTTTTAAAAAGACTACTGAAGGTAAAAGATTATGATATTCTATATTGAAACAGTATTAGAAATGGTGAGAGATGATACTATCAACATATATTCTAAAGATATAGCAAACAGCATTTGCTCTTAGCTCAAATACTGAGAGAGAAAAGTAAAAGATGACTTCTAGGTAGCAATTACATGAATATTGGTGCCATTTACTTCAATAAGGAAAAAATGGAGAAATAACTGATTTGGTGGGGGAAAATCCAAAGTCCTACTTAGACATTAAATATGATATATTTATTAGACATATTCAAGTGGAGATATCAAGTAGGGAACTGGATATAAGAATCTAAATCTCAAAAGAAAAGTTGATTTTGGAGTTCTAAATGTTAGCATGAGCTTATAGATGTTTTTAAGACATGTGATAACATGAGAGCTCTTAGAAAATATAGATGGATAAACTGTCCAGAGACCGAGTCCTATAAAAATAGGAAAATAAACCAACAAAGAGACTAAGCACAATTAGGAAACTGTAGTGTTTAAGAAGCCAATAGGGAAAAAGACTTGAGTGGGAGGGAAGGAGAACAACTGTATCAAATGATTTTGGGAGGGCAAATAAGATGAGGACTGAGAGTGACCCATTTACCTGTAAGAAGGCAATCACTGGTGATCCTGACGAGTCAAACGGTAGAGAAGAAAGACTAACTGGAGAGGTGTCAAGAAAGAATGGAAGGAAAGTAATGTGAAGTTAATAAAAATTGAGACTCCTCTAACAGAACTAGAGGACACAGTGCATAAGATTGCATGTGAGTAGGTCTAACACGAGGTCAAAACAGGAATTCTTTTTAACTTTCATTTTAGGAGGAGCAGTATTGCAACATGCAATATGCTCTCACAAATAGTCTAGTAGAGAGAAAAAATATAAGCTGGGGGAAGGGGTGACAACTATAAGAACAAAGTTCTTAAACAGATAAAAAAAAAAAAAAGAGTAGGTGTAGTATGCACATAGAGCTTAGGCCCTAAATAAAATACAGACAGGTCATTCACTGGAATGGCAATTACATATAACTGACTCTTAACAATGAATCAGAATAAGTCACTTGGGAGCAATTTTATCTATATACAAAAAGCTGAATTCAAAATTCAGTATTCTTTCCAAGATTAAAATCTGTAAGAAGGAAAATACAAGGCTAATATAACCTTTTAATTATTAAATCCAGTCAAATGCAAATCAGGAAGACAGAAGTCCTTTTAATTCTTCTCAAGGGGTAAAACCTACCTGGACTCTCCACTCTCTTATAGTGGTATGGGTTGATACAAACTTCTTTTTGCTTAGATCCAAAAGGAAATTCACAAATATCCAATGGTTTTAGCTCATGATGACTTTGCAAATCAGGCCAGCGCCAAACACGACAATATATAACGTGGGGTAAGCCTTTTCTGTGGGAAACCTGAAGGCGGCCGTCTAAAGATCTAGGAATAGTGACACATTTGCTCGGCTGTCCTGGACTGCTCAAGGCTTTCTCCAGTTCCTCCATGGCACCCTTTTTCTTTTTTAGCTTTTTCACCAAAGCATCGACTGCCTTTTCTGCCCATTTCTCCTCTTCATCGCCTTGCTTCCAGCCCAACAATCGCTTTACTGCTGGACTAGTAAAAGAAAACAAGCTGGCCATTGACGTCATTTGATATCAATCTTCGGAGACCTTCTTGCAACTCAAAGTCAATGGCTTCTGAGTGAACAGATCACAGATGACAAGTTATACACAGGTCCAAAGCAGAAGCTCCAATTTAAAAGGGAGGAGTGACATTTATCTTCATAAGTGCCATAAGCTTTTTCACTGGTTCAAGTCCTGAAAGAGAAAGGAGAAAAGGATAAGATCCCTAATTTAAATGGATACAATTAACATACATTAAAATCAATGTAATTGAAAAGTATGTTATTTTTAAATAAAAGCAGAAAAGCATTACAAAGTAAAACAAAAAACCTAAGTCTAGAAAGAAAAATTTTCTCTAAAGTTCTGTGATCACTCAATTCCTTCTTCTTAACATGAACAAATAATTCATAGTCAATGCCAAATGATAACCAATAGCAAAACTAGGTTGCTGCATTTTCTATGTATTGTTAAAAAGAAATAACCTCTAGATTTTTATTCTTTTTAGTTTCAGGCTAGTAAGCCCTCAAATGGCCTGCTTAGGTTTGATTCTGAAGTACTTTTCTTCTTTGAAACCCATGTTACATGCTATGTCGATTCTGAACATATGTCCTGATCCAAACAAAAGTCTTAAGAAAATCTAGCTCTTCCCTAAGGTCATTATTCTCTTTAAAATGTTTCACAGGCTTATAAGGTTTGGGCAAAAGCCATGGTTTTATTCAAGTCACATTATTAAATGTAAATTATAGTAACAGTTGTCATAAGATAAAATGCACCAAGCCCTCAAATAAATCCTAACACACATAATTGCCAAAAAAAAATAAATAAAAAAATGGAAAGTATCTATTTTTAGAACTAAGAATCCTATATAATAAAAGCCTAATATGCTAAGTGTCTGGTCCACCAGTCAGCTGTTCAACCATCTATACTAATATAAGGGTAATAAGCTAATTATACTGAGAGACCTTCCGGGCGTTCTTCTGGACAAAGCCATGGTGGCTGGGCGGAGGTAGAGGCGGTTAGAAGCCAAAAGGGCAGTTGTAGGTGATCAGGACAGGGGGGGGAGGGAAGGTTGTTGGGGGTGATCAGGCCAGTGAGGGGGTTAGTTGGGGGTAAGCAGACCAGCAGAGGGGCTAATTGGGGTTGAGCAGGCTGTCAGTGGGGGTTAGTTGAGGGTGATCAGGACAGCAAAGGGGGGGGGGGCAGTTTGGAGTGAGCAGGCCAGCAGGGGGCAGTTGGGGGCAAGCAGAATGGCAAGCAGAGTGATAAAGGGCAATCAGGCAGGCAGGTAAGCGTTTAAGAGCCAGCAGTACTGGATTGTAAAAGGGATCCCAGATTGGAGAGGCTGCAGGCCGGGCTGAGGGATACCCCCGCCCTCCATGCATGAATTTTGTGCACCGGGCCATTAGTTCAAAGCATAATATGCTAATGATATGCTAAGGCTGCTCAACTGCTCACTATGACGTGCACTGACCGTCAGGAGGCAGACACTCTGACCAGTAGGTTAGCTTGCTGCTGGGGTCCAGATGATCGGGATTGAGTGAGACGGACTGGACACTCTTTGGAGCACCCCTATCCCCCTGCAGTCCCTCCCCAGCCAGCCAACCTCCTGCACCCCTTCTGTGTCCCAATTGTGCACTGGTGGAGTCCCTCGGCCTGCCCTGCACTCTCTCCCAATCTAGGACCCCCTAGGGGATGTTGGAGAGCCTGATTCAGCCTGATCCCATAGGAACGACCGGTTGCTATGACGTGCACTGACCACCAGGAGGCAGACATTCAACGCAGGAGCTGCCCCCAGCCCACAAGGCCCAGGCCAACCAAGGCAGGTGCCAGTGGGGGCCCCGTTTGCCCTGCCAGTCGCCCCACAGAGGGAGACAACCGGCAGTGGCGGAGGCGGCAGGGGGCAGGGCTGGCAAGCAGGCAGCGCCAGGGCAGCCAACGCAGGTGCCAGCAGGGGCCCCCGATCGCCCCACCAGTTGCCCCACAGATTGATCCTGATTGCTGGTCATGCCTAGGAACCCTACCCACGCACAAATTTTGTGTACCAGGCCTCTAATACTGAATAAATTTAAAGATAACTCAAAGTTTAACTGAGAAAAGAACAGTTTATAATTTTATAATTCCTACTGCCTTCTGTGATATTAGCACATTAATTTAATGAACTTGCTCCAGGCTGACCACTACTCTGCACCATTAAGAAGCTCTTGAAGTTAATGACAAGAGGAAATGATGTGCAGTGGCACTGCACTGATAAGAGTGGGTACAATCCCCTGTGGTAACTACACAGCCAACTGCAGATAATGAGCAACCAGTGAAGTAACAGAAGTAATGTTAAAGGTAACAGTAATAGATACTTTATAAACTGAAAAGCACTATTCAAATGTGAATTATGATCATTATTATTCAGAAGAGGAAGAGTGAAGATTCCAAATATTGGTTAGGTTTTGTCTTTGTCTAACATACCTACCTCTGTACTATACACACTTTCTGATCCAACCCCAATCCCTGCACCTCTGCCCATCTGTGTCTTTTAAGAGAAATCTCAGTCATCTTCAATGATAAGCTCAAACCCATACACTTTTGTAAAAAATTTCTTTACTCTTCTACCCTAAAAAGGCTATGGCCATTTATTATACTTATTATAAATAATACTAAAATGATAAAAACATATCTTAACTTCCCAAATGGAATATAAAATCTTCCTAGGAACAAGTCTTCAGTACCTGGCACTATGCCATGTGCCATACCACATATTAAGGGAGTATATAATGAATGGCCATTGATTTTTCTATCAACTGTACCTTGCAATTAAAAAGATAACTTCAAATTTTAAATCCAGGTGACTAAGATAATGACAATTCCATTAATAGAATTAAGGATACTAAGAAAGTGGCTTAGTCAGCAGAGAAGATGGTTAACTCTATTGAGAAAAGGGACATGACTGGAGATATAGGTTTAACAAAGAAAAGATGAGAAACAGACTTAAGATTTTGTACAAAGAGCTGAAACAGTAAAGAAAATGCAGGTTTTCAAAAGAATGAAAAGAGCAGCAGGTAAATACCCAAATATTAGGGAACATTCACTGGTAGAAAAGAGAAAGAGTTATTGATAAAGTACCACTATGAGGAAGATTTTAGAATTAGATACAAAGATATTGTGGAAGGTTAAACACAAGAGAAACTTTAAAAAAACAATGAAAAGGCCAATGATTTCGTGAATGGTGAAAGATGATGTCATTAGTTAGACTGCAAGAGACTGGCTTCAGAAAGAATAAGGAGTGTCAGATTTTAAAACCTAAGACTAGTGCTTTCTTAAAACTAGCACCAGGGTCCTGGCCAGTGTGCCTCAGTTGGTTGGAGTGTCATCTCACACTCCAAAAGGTTCTCCTGTTCAATTCCCAGTAAGGGCATATAACCAGGTTATGGGTTCTATCAACAGATGGAGTCTCTGTCTGTCTCTCTGTCTGTCTGTCTCTCGCTTTTGCTCTCCCTTCCCCTCTCCCTTCCTTTCTCTCTAAATTTAATTTTTTTAAAAATTAATAAAAAACTAGCACTACGAAAAGGGTAGGGACAAATCTTATACTCAACTTTTTAAATAAAGAATGATATAAATTTACCCAACTACTTTGGAAAATTGTTTGACAATATTTATTAACTAAACATAAATTCCTAGGACCAAACTATTCCATTCCTAAAAGATATGATGGATCTCATGGATATACTAAAGAATTCAGATACAAAATATTAAACATTATATCATTCCATCTATATGACATTCAAAAAGAGGAAAAACTAACCAATGTCATTAGAGGCAATATTATTATTAATATGAGGGACAAGAGAGACTTCCGGGGAGCTATAAATTTTCTATATCTTGATTTGAGTGACAACATAAATGTACACATATGTAAAAGTTCACTGAGTTATACATGTGAGATTTATATGCTTTATTATAAGATATACTTCAATATAAAAAGCCTTTTATAATAAAAATTTACTAGTGAGCAAATCACCTATAAAATTAGTTCGCATTCACTAGCATCTCCATCATCATAAACCATGAGTAAAACTGCAAATTTGCAAAAACTGTAAAATTTCACTAAGTTTATTAAAATGATAGCAAAAATATAGGGCTTGGGATTTAATTTTACCCTACAACTCTACAAGCAAATAAGTAAGTTCCACAAAGTACATGAGACTCCTGGGTCAGAGACAAAGGACTTTATTACTCATGACACAGCAAGCAGTATTAGCATCAGATTTGCAATTCACTTTGCCTAGAAAACCCATGGGAGTAATGCACTTTGGCCCAGATGGATGAAACTCCTGTAGTGGGTTTGCAGTGATGTAGAACAGAGCTTCAGGAATTTATCACTTTTGTAGTGATCGTAAACAAGTCAATTGTTTGTAGAGAAAGAATAACTTGACTATCAAAGAATTAACAGAGGTTCTTGGGGAAAGCAATATATATTTCTATGGGTATTTTTGCAAAAAAACAAATATCCTCTTAATGTCAGCACCACAAATGTCATGTTTGATAGGATGCTATATTATGCTACTAAATTATTTTGTGAGAAGAAGCCTATCTATTCACACTTGATTCATTCTTTGTTTGTTATAAAATAAATGCTTGTTTATAATTATAACCTAACATTTATTTATCCAACATTTTAATTTTCAAGATAAAGTCCCAATCAGATCTTTTAGTCAGAATCTAGTATGAAATACTGATCTGCATTTTAAGTGGTTTCATTTTAAATGAGCATTTTCCTAAACCACTTATCATTAGTTCATTCACAAAGACCTAAATGTAACATGTGCTTTTCGTGAAGATTTAATTATCATTATGAACCTGTTACTGTGCTGTGTTGGAAATCCATTATAAAAAGTATGGAGAATAGGCTGCATAGTTACTGACTGACGTTGGATGATGCTCCAATCAAATGAATAGTTGAAAGTGCATGAATAATTTTGAAAAGGTAGACTTTTAGACACAACTTTCTTTAAAAAAAAAAAAAAAAAAGCTATTTC